TGTCTCAAAATCAGACATGCTGTTATCTCCTGGCAATAAGCCAACGTATAGGCTCAAGGTAATAGCAAAACCCAGACAGCTGGAAGCAGGTGAAGGTTTGATGGCCATAGGTGACCAAAGTCACTGTAGGTGAGCAGCGGAAATTGATCTTTTCAAGCAGGAACAGCGAAAAGATACTTTCTCAATGCTGTATGGTGGGGAAGCATGAGACCCAGCCTAGCCGATGATGTTAGCACCAAGTCCAAGAGCATTAACCCCTTCTGCAGAATTAAAACAGCAGGAGCAGTGAATGTAGGGTTAGTCTTAACACTTTAGAGCTGTAGAAAAGGCCGCCTAAGACACTAGCAAAAAACTGGAGCATGCATGCAGAGTTATCCTAGGTTGGCCTACAGTTTTTTTTTGTTTGCCAGTGTCCTATTTAAGTGTCCAAGCAGTAGAACTTGAAGTTATTGACTTTGTGTCCCTCAATGGACAAGAAAGCAATGTATTTTTAATGGAAGCATCTGAATTTGAAATGGTATTAGCTACTTGTACAGCAGAGCTCAGGAGCCAATCAAGTATGATGCAGGGCTCATGTGCCACCAAGCAGCATGCTAACAGGAAGCGAGCAGAGTGACAGGGAGCGAGAATGTAATCAGTGTGTGCCTTCTCTTTTCACTTTCCAGTCATAGGCTGGAGGAGGGACAAGACCAGTAAGCATTGCTTAGAATCAGATCTCCTGTACTGTGTGGGAGAGCTGTGTAAGCCTCAAAAAATGGATGGAAAGATATGCACACCCTTTGGCAGGACAAAACAGCTCCCATATATGTTTTTATTCCTTGTATTAGCCGTTTGTTTGCCTGAAGCTCAGATGTAAAGTGTATTTTTACTTCACAGCCAAATTGGGATAGCACCATTTCATAATTGTTCCCATTTACACAGCATAAGCTAATAAACATTTAAAAAATGCTACTTTGAATAAATTGCTTTTACTTGGGTTAGGGTTTCTTGGCTTCTTAACGGTTAACATTTCTACTTGCTTCTCCTTTGTAATGTTATGGAGGGGTGGGGTTTGGTTTTGTTAATTATAATTTGTAATGTAGATTTGAACACTGCATGTCCTAACAAAAGGGTTAAAGGATTATAACCCTGGCTTCTGCATTCAAATGTCAATTAAGTTAATGAGAGAAATACAATACTTAAAATTCAGTCCTTCAAGTCTTTCTATAAGGATAGATCATTGTGAAGGTGCTCAGAAAAAACAAACCTGGATTCAGCCAATTTGTCTGCTGCAACAATGGAAAACAAACAAAAAAACCTTAAAAAAAAAGGAGAACTATGAGGCGAGTGCTTTTCACTCACCTCATAGTTCTAGCCGACCTGTGACAATGAGACTTTCACAGGTCGGCTCAGTAGATCGGGAGGTGAGCGAACACATACCGGGTTCGCTCACAGCTCTCTGCCGTCACAGGGGGAGGGGCTGGATTCCCCTCTCCGATCTGCCAGCGCTGACTGGCGGAACGGACGGGGAGGAGGCGGGTACAGCTGGCTCTGCCTCTAGATAGGCAGAGCCAACTGTCACTCACGCAGCTGGGCGGATCCCGTCGCCTAAGTCGGGATCCGCTGCGGCGTCTCAGTATACCGCGAGCTGTAGCTCGCGGTATACTGAGCCTAGGGTAACGGGAGGACGCTAGTTTGTGTCCTCCCGTTACCCTAAGGAGAACTATGGGGAAAAACACTGACCCCATAGTTCTCCTTTAAGAAATGGGTGAACCTGGGATAGTTTTGTGCTAGATCAAATGCCAAAGCAATAGTCACATGGTCTTTGCTGAAGAGGAGGGCCACTGTTCAGGCAGAAGTCACTGACTGGTAGGTTCTCTGAACATCAGCCCCCCTTCCCTGAGGATCCTCTAGCAGAAACCCCATGACCAATACACATGAATTGGCCAAATCCAAAAGACCGCCCCTCTCTTTAACAAGGTCAGTTTTATTACGTATGAGTGTAAACAATTTATCCAAGTACAGTAGTAAGGTAATGGTCCACTTTCAGATTTGCAAAGCACTGCACACAATACCTTAAACATGCCTTACCCTGTAGAATGTATATCTTGTCTTTATATTCTACAGCGCTATGAAACTCCATCGCCACTGGCATTAAACTCACAGCCGTCCAACAATTGTCTCTTACGTCATAGTACTCTACGGACTTGAGCGGGTTGCGGCCATCGCCTTCATAAACTCGCCCCCCTATTGCGTATTGCTTACCACAGCAGTGAACCAATTTGCAACCTATACGTGCTCTGAGCAGGGGCGCTTTAGCCAACCACCTATTGTTCGCATGGTCGTACAACCAGAAGTCACTTTCCGCTCTGTGGTCTATACAGACGTCGTTGTTGCTAGGTTTGTAGCCCCCGGCAATGTAGAGTTCATTATCTGGCGTCACAAGGATGCCGACCTCGCGCAGGTCCCCTGGGGGTTTGCATAGTTTATAGACCTTTCCTGTGAGGATGTCCAGACAAGGCACAGTTTGTTTCTTCCCTGAGTGTTTACTGGCGGCTTCAAAGCAGATGATCATTTCTGAAGCGGTCATGCCGAGACGCCGATTACAGTAATTGGCACTGAGCTTTCCCTTTTGGACGTGGTTTTTAGGCATTGCCCGTGCAAACATGGGAGGGATCTTCTCCACAAATTGTTCTTCCATAAGAGGCATGCGGACACATTTGGCAAAGATCTCGGGGAGGTGCTCCTCTCTATCAGCCTGGTCATGTTCAAACCAAGAAATGATGCTGTCGTAGACGTGCTCCTCCTTATCCACATCCAGGTCGTCACTGTTGAGGATACTTATAAGCTGGTCCTTCCTCAATAGCAGAAACTCCTGCTCTTTGGTGACGTACAAGAACTTTTTACGGATGTATTCTTGAGACTTATCTTTCAGTTCTTGGTGACCGTAATGATCGGCAAAAATAAATACACCTATACAGTTCTGGGGGTCCAGGCGACTGATCATGTACTGGGCGCACTGGTCTTGGAGTGGAGGGATCTGGAAGATGCTAGCTGCAGTGAACAAAGCTTGGACGTTGGCCTCAGTCAGCTGAACCCTGGAGGTATAGGCGTAGTTTAGGACGAGCTGCATGGACTCTGCTTCTATGCCTACTATTCGGACTTCTTTCTGTGTGCTTTCTGTAAGGCCACTAGTGAACATAGATCTGTGGAGCAACAACAAGCAGGTGAAAGACATTTAAGTGAGCTTGGGACAACAAAAAGGGACACTGCCATGCTAAATTGGTTTTTAAACTTGAAGGCTTTGGGTCATTCTCACTTTTGCATTCTTGCTTAAAGAGTCAATGACATGGAAAAAGCATGCTTCCAGTGAGGAATTAACACTTTTCTGGAATGCTTGTTTCAGATGAGTAACCAAGCAGGTAGTGAAGCCAAGACGGGAATGAAAGCCCCCAAAGTCTGCACCTTTAAAAACCAAGATCAATATCCAAAGCCACTGCAAGTATTAAAATTGTCAAACTAACGACTAAACCAATATATGAAAGCCAAATGACACCCTTATTTTACCTTTGAACTGAATCAAAGAAAACCTTTTCTAAAAGGTTAGGCAAGCCTGGTAAGAAACTCAGAAGCTCCTTGGTTTAGGATACACCCGCTCTATTGACCTGGTGCCTCCTCAGAAGATACACAGGCACACTTTAAAGCAGAACTCGATCCATTTTGGATTTAATAACCCTCCCCCCCATACTTTTTTTTGTAATTTTATTTAACTCTCCCTCCCAGATTTTCATCTGCTGCTCGATATGGCCCACTTCCAGGTTGGGCAGCCAACATCATGCAACGCCTCCCTGTGAGCCTAAGGTGTCATGCACACACTTCCCTGGGGGGTGCATAATCACGCCAGCCTACACTCACAGTACTAAACAGCATTCACATGTGATTAAGTGAGCGCCCTTTAGTACTGTAGCAAGGACACCAGATGTAGAGGACTTCCCACACTGGATGGGACTGCAGACTCATTCAATGATTTTGCGCAGCCTCTCAGTATGCCCAAGCATATGCAGGCAAGACTGCAATGGCATCAGAGAGAGAACAGTGCTTGAAGCAGGGAATCAAATGACTGATATATACACATACATATATACACAGGGCGTTGAAAAATCCACTCGTCCGCTCATCTGTGACGAGAGGACGGCGGAGACCGATGAGCAGCTTCCCTGCCGGCCATTGTAATCACACGGCCGGCGCTTACATTCAAGCGATCGAGCGTCTCGAGACGCCCGGTCGCTTGAATTACCAGCAGCTGTCACTGCCGGTCCAGAGATCCGCTGTGCCCGATGCCGGCCGCACGGCTCTGTGACAGGAGATCAGTACACAATCTCCCTTTGATCTATACTCTTGTCCCGGAATGCAGGAAGTGATGTATATTAGATCACTTCCTGCATTCAGTGTCACTTTCCAAATACAGAAGCTGATGAAGCCGATCTCTGCTTCATCAGCTTCTCTGGGTGTCCCTAGGTGACATTAGGGGTCTTTGAGACCCCTGATGTCTCCCTAAAGAGGACCTGTCATGTAAATTGGCTATCACAGGGGGCTTCTTAGCCCCCCCATGTGATGGCAATAAAAAGGTGTAAAAAATACAAAAATGAAAGAATCATAGAAAAAAAATTCTTTAATTTTTTTATGCTTCAACCTCTTGCCGTCCGCCCGTAGTAAAAAAACGGACGGACGGCACTGCAGCATCTGCGGGTTGTGTGCCTATTGTGCCGCAAATGCAATAATTTTAGGGCAATCACTGATAACACTAAACTGATGAGCGGTAAAAGCGTTTTAAGCGTCGCCTATGGCCAATTTTCAGTGTGGTCGTTTTTTGCGATTTTGCGGGCGCACGCAATTTTAAGGCTTGGCATGTTTGGTGGCTATTTACCCGACGTGACCCTGTCTTTTATATTTTACCAAAAATACCAGTGGTGATAATATACCTCCAAAAGAAAGCTCTATCTGTCCCCCAAAAAATTGCAAGGCTATGGTGACTGGTGAAATTTTTGACTGAGTGGTGGGTCCCCCATAACATTTTTCTAGATAGATAGAGATAGATAGAGATAGATTGATTGATATATATATATATATATATATCAGAGCCCCACTGATACGCACCTGTACACAGAGATGATGAACTTGCCTAACTTGACCTGAGGTGTGCCATAGTCGCTATGGACAGTATGCAAATAAGGGGGCAAAAATTACCCTGAGGAACATGCAAATTGTATTTCCATGCTTTGAAGGAACCGATTCAATCGTTAAAGGATTCAATTGTTGAGCTACGTTGGCCTGCTTAAATCAAGCCAAGCTCAAAAAGGGAAATGCAAGAGCACACAGTAAACCAATTGTTTTCTCTGTGCCCTGTTCACACTAAAATGCTGCGTTGAGGTAGGTCACATTGCATGGTTTAAAAATGCAGACGAATGCAGTAACAGTGACTTGGGTTGTAACAATGCAGAGCACCACCACTTGACAACAGCCCACATGCATTTTACCGTGGCGGCATGTATGAACGAGCCCTAACAGTGAAGCACCTGCTGATGAAAATGTAGGTGGGATACCATTCTACCAGTGTGGAAAGCAATCAGAAAAAGGATAGCAATCTGTATAGTGGCACTGCCTTACAAAAGAAGTATAGAAGAAAATCTAGGGTGTTTCCAGCCCTACCGATTAATGCTAATATTTGCGTATTTGTACAAGTACCTAAAGAAATTGAACGATTGACTTTGAAAACAAAGGGGCCCTTTAATTTTACTTGGCATCAGTAACAGGCGTTGTTGGCTCTCCAGTACAATCAGATAGCAATCATGCAAAAAAAAAAAAAAAAAAAAAAAAAAGGGGGAGTTCTAAAAAAAACCCAGAAAGAAT